GAGGAGGTAGCGGAGGGAGGAAGCGGAGGGAAGGAGGGAAGGAGGACGGAAGGCGGCGGCAGCCCCGGAGGGCCATGCACGGCGACCTTTCTGTGAGCGTCGTGGCGGTGTCGGCTGGCGACGAGGACGAGCCTGGGCCGCCCGCCGCTCGGCCTTGCCGGCCGGGCCCTCGCCGCCCCCCAGCGCCGGGTCTTCCGCCATGGTCTGGCTCCTCCCCCTCCTGCGCCTCTTGTTCCTCCTCCTCTTCCTCCTCCTCATCTTCCTTCTCCTCCTCCTCCTCCTCCTCCTCCTCCTCCTGATCCTGCTCCTGCTCCTGCTGCCTGCTCATCATCCTCATTATCATCATCATCCTTCTCCGCCTCCTCCTCCTCTCCTCCTCCTCCTCCTCCTCCTTTTCCTCCTCCTCTTCATCCTCCTCCTCCTCCTCCTCCCCTTCCTCCTCCTCCTCCTCCTCCTCCTCCTCTTCCTTCTCTCGTCCCTCCGCCCCTGCCTCATCCCTATCCTCTTCCGTCGTAGACTTGTTGGCTCAAGTCGCACGTGGACCCCGTTCGGTGTCCAAAGGGGGTGCGAGCCCCGTGGCCATCGGCTCAGTGGCGCCACCCTTCGGCGCGCGCTCGCCGTGGCGTTGGGCGATGGCGGCCCGAGAGCTGTTCTGCAAGGGGCCTGCATTCATGGAGGCGATGTGTGCCGCCCTGCCCTATGGCGGCCGCTGGTGCTGCTGCGGAGTGGCCTTCTGGGAGCCTGGGCCGCCCGTGCTGGGCGTGGTGCTGCATTCCTGGGGGCTGCCTGCCGCGCAGCCGGCGCCGATGGCGGCGCTGGCCATGCTGCCGCAGAGGGCGCGCGGTGCGGGCGGCTGCTGGTCGCCAACATCCTTGGCGACCCGGTGGGGTGCACGGAGGCGGGCGGCGAATAGCCGCGTGTGCAAGCTGATTTGTGCTGGGCATGAAGCTATGCGAGAGGCCAGGCGAAGTCCGTGGACCCGCACGTGAAACCGCAGGTGGAGCGGGCCGCGGAGCGGTCCCACTTGTCCGAGTTGAAGACTGATTGGAACCAGGTGGCGAGCAAGCGGCACCCGAAGCCTGCGGCTTGATGGGGGACGGCGGGGAGGCTCGCCCACCGCGCAGCCGCGGAGGAGCGGGCCAGGATGGAGGCCATGCGGCTTCAGGAGGTCCGGCGGTCCGCCGCGGCGATCGTGGTGCAGCGTTACGCGCGCGGGTCGCTGGGGCGGCGCGCGGGCGCTGCTTTGCTGGCGGCCGCTGGCACGCCGCTGATCGCGGTGCCCGCAGTTCGTGCTGGTGCTCAGGCCGCCCCCGTTGTGCAGCTGCGGCCAGTGCAAGTCAAGTGCGCGGTGGCGATACCTTGGGCTCGGGCGCGGCAGTGGGCTGATGACGCGGAGGCGGCGCGTGTGCAGGCTGCCGTGGCGAGGTTGCATGAGCAGTATGAGAGTTGCTTGGCGGATGCGTTTCAGCATTTTGAGGAGCTCGAGGCGCAGGTGAATGTGTTGCTGCGGGAGCTCGCGGCGCTGCCGAAGAAGGACGGTCCGAAGCTGGGCAGAGCTTGCGAAGGCGACTTGCCCGAGACTCCAGGCTTGAGAACGTCCGCTGCTTGCTGGCCGAGGTGGATGTCGGGCCACCTCCGCGAGCCGCATCTCCTGCACGAGGCCCTACACGGGCGGCGGGAGGCGCGAGGCCCCCAGGAGCCTCGCCGTCGAAGATCTCCTCCCTGCCTGTCGCGGCGCTGAGCTGTCAGGCGGCACGACGGCTGCGCGGCGGGACTGTCCGCATGGAGTGGACCAGGGGTGGACGCTGTGATACCTGTATCGGCGGAAGTTGCCCTCCGTCGTTGGATGTTGCACGGCCTTCGGTCCGAGTAGCATCCATCCCCTCCCTGGGAGGGACCATGTCGCCTGCGAGGCCTTGGTGCTGTAAACGGGGTGGTCGCGTTTCTCTTTTGGTGCGTGCTCCGATTGCGCCTCGGGACAGACAAGACAGTCCCAACCAGTCCTCATCCCCTTCCTCTTCCTGATTCCTGGCGGCTGGAAAAAACATCGTTCGTGGCCCTCCTCCTGCTCCTCCTTTTCCTCATCATCGTCCTTCTCTTCCTCCTCCTTTTCCTCCTCCTCCTCCTCCTTTTCCTCCTCCTCCTTTTCCTCCTCCTCCTCCTCCTCCCTCTCCTCCCTCCTCCTCCTCCTCCTCTTCCTACTCCTCCTCCTCCTCCTCCTCCTCCTCCTCCTCCTCCTCCTCCTCCCTCCCCTCCTCCTCTCCTCCTCCTCCTCCTCCCTCCTCCTCCCTCCTCCTCCTCCTCCTGCCTCCTGCTCTGCCTCTGCTCTGCCTCTGCCTCCTCCTCCTTCGTCCCTCGTCCTCCTCCTTTTCCTCCTTTTCCTCCTCCTCCTCCGCCTCTTCCTCCTCCCCCTCCTCCTCCTCCTCCTCCTCCTCCCCTCCTCCTTCTCCTCCTCCTCCTCCTCCTCCTCCTCCTCCCTCCTCCCTCCTCCTCCTCTCCTCCTCCTCCTCCTCCTCCTCCCCTCCTCCTCCTCCTCCTCCTCCTCCTCCTCCTCCTCCTCCTCCTCCTCCTCGTCCTCCTCCTCCCCCTAGCCGTTCCGCGCCCGAGCGGCCCCTCCCTGCGTGGGCCGGCCTGGGCGCTCCTGATGCGAACTTCGGAGCGGCGTTGCAGTGGGGAGCCATCAAGAACCATGAGCCACCAAGAAGCGGGGGCTAGGCAGCGGACGCTGGCACTGAGCAAAACGCGCGGCAGGGCGATCAGCTACAACGTGGAGAGCAGCCCGCGCGAGAAAGGGAGCGCGCAGTGGCAGCAAACGCTGGCGCTAAGAGAAACGGGCGGGCATGCCACGATCAGCTACCTTTAGGAGCAGTCCGCGCGAGAAAAGGGCGAGCGCAGTGGCAGCGGACGCTGGTGCTGAGCAAAACGCGCGGGTGGGCGATCAGCTACAACGTTGGGGGCAGTCCGTGCGAGAAAGGGCGAGCGCAGTGGCAGCGGACGCTGGTGCTGAGCAAAACGTGCGGGTGGGCCATGATCAGCAACAACGCTGGGAACAGTCCGTGCGAGAAAGGGCGAGCGCAGTGGCAGCGGGCGCTGGTGCTGAGCGGAATGCGCGGGCGGGCCGGGAGCAGTCCGCGCGAGAAGAGGCGAGCGCGGTGGCAGCGGGCGCTGGTGCTGAGCGAAACGCGCGGGCGGGCCACGATCAGCAACAACGCCGGGAGCAGCCCGCGCGAGAAGGGGGGCGCGTAGTGGCCGTGGACGAGGGGGGTGCTCCCCGCAGACCCTGGCGTTGCGAGAAAACGGCTGCGAGAAGCGGGAGGCGATGATAGAGCCCGACGGCACCTAACTAACTCCGCTAGGAACAGTCGTCCACGAAAGTACAGGGGCGCACGTCACCAACTACAGCGCTGGGATCAGCTCGCGCGCGGAAGGCAAGGGGGCAATCGTGCGAGGCAGGGTTGCAGTTCATCGGGGGCCAGTCGAACGCCTCTTGCGAGAAGCGGGGGGCGAAGCTGAAGCCCAATACCGCCAGACGTGTTCTACGCCGAAGGGTTGAAATCAACGCATGCGAGAACGCTTCGGGGATCGCGGGGCCAGGAAGGACCTAAGCTACAGCGCGGGGATCGGGTCGCGCGAGAACCGAGGCAGCGGCAGCAGGCTCTGTTGCCGCGGGGATCCGACGAGCCAGTCTAGGCTACAGTGCCGAAATCAGCTCGCGGAAGATTTTGCAAGCCCTCAGAGAGCACGGCGTTCTGGCTCGGCCCGGGGGCGACCCGACGCGGCCAGGGCGACCCGCGGCGCGATTCCGCGGGGCATCGTGATCGTTCGACTGGCAGAATCCAGCAGGATCCCCCTCCTCCTCCGCCTCCCCCTCCTCCCCCCCCCGCCCCCCACCCCCCGCTCCTCGCTCGCTCGCTCGCTACTCGGGCTTCAGAGTTTGAGTCCGCGCCAGAGGTGCAAAGTTGAAAGGCATGCAAAACGAATTCATGCAATGGGGAGAGGGCCAGGGCGACGCCAACATGGGGGGGGCAGCGAGCCCCCTTCGGAGCGCCCTGCTGCCACGCCGGGCAAGAGCGGCCCTGGCGGAACGGCGCTCGGGCCAAGGGCGGGCCCCGACACCCTGCCCCAAGCGCCCCCCCCCCCCCCCCCCCCCCAGCACTCCTCGAGATTGCGCTGGCGAACAACAGAGTCACGCGCAGAAGTGGCGCCGCCCCTCCATCGGAGACCGCCAGACGTCAGGGCGGGGGCTCCGTCCAAGACCCCGTCGGGGGCAGCCCTCTCCCCAGCGACACTTCCATTATCCTGTCCCTCGCTCCGCTGCATGACAGCCGATGCACCTGCAGACTGCAGGCGCGCTAGCAGCTTGGCGAAGGCACGCGACCACACTGCTCGCGCCCCCCAGCGGCCGGGCACGCCACGCACGTCCACGGAAGCAAGAGAGGCGAAGACGATGGTTGAGGCATCTGGGTCAGAATGGGAGAACTTGGTCGCCCCGCCACCCGCCACCGCGGCCGCGGTACTTGGCCGCGCACCCCGCAAGGCCACTTATGGTGGGATGCTAGAACCTTCGGGCGGCCCCGTTGCCAGCAGAGTTTGTCAAAGTTTCGATAGGGCGCCGATCTCCTCTCCGGGGGGGGGGGGCCAGAAAAAGGTTGGGCCGCGTTCGCCGATGGGGGGACTGGGGCCACCCAGCAGACAGGAGCCCCATGAGCGACACACTTAAACCATAACTCAACACGAACACATCCACGCATTTTTTCCCATCCACTGCCGTTCGCTGTCGCTGGCCCCGGAGCAACCCCAGCGGGCCGCAGCGGAGCGAACAGGATTTCGGCCTTCATGGAGCGAGTCTTTCGGGCGCGAGGCTCTCGTGAAACAAGAGAGTGTCTTCAATAGCCAGACTGGCAAATTTTCCATTAGCGGCGAGCGGGCCCATGGACGCAAGAGCGCGGGGGGCCATGAAACTTCGCGGGCCACGCGCATCACATTCAAAGACTATCGGCCAAACGCGATCCGTCTTCCACGGGGGAACTAAAGGACCGAATAGCACGTTGAACAGCTTCTCTTCTGTAGACCACAAACACGGCACAGGGGCAAGT